ATCTTGTGCCGATTGCCAGGCTGCCACATTTCATAATATTTCTGAAGATTTACCGTAGTTACCGAATAGTAAACCGTGAGAGAGGGGTGTGCGCACTAGCACCATATTCCCACCAAATTTTGGTGGCAAATGTCTCCCCACTGCCTTGAAATAATATAAATTAAGATTATCACGCGGAAAAAAGAGAACCGTCCGAGCCTTCGCAGAGGCAACATCTAGAAGAGAACCGACCGATCCTTCGAAGGAGCAACATCTCTGTTGAAATAGACCGCTTCACCGAACCGACTAAAAATCTACCGCCAGAGTTCCGACAGAATCGCCAGGCCGAGAACACTCAATCCGCTGAGTATTAAGCTAGGCGATAAGCTCGAAAAAAAGCTTTCTCTGACCGTACCGCTTCCAAAAATCCGACCGTACCTGATTCCGTCACTTCTTACCGTAGCCGGCCGACAGCCGTTGCCGATTCACCTCCTCACCTGTATTCCGTTAACCAGCGTTATAATAATGACGGGAGGCACCGGCACCAATGAAAGCCCACCAGTTACCAGCACTCCAAATACCACTACTGCCACGGCGGTTACCACGAGTTCCGTCAACCCGACTGTGACTTTACCGTCCGTAGTTACCTTTGCCTGGTATGATCCCAACGATGTCCGAGTGAGCTGGGTATATCAATTAAAAAGAGATGATCTAGTGATCGAATTAAATAAGTTTGGTCTCGATACTAACGGCACAGTCGACATTTTGAAAAAGCGCCTTGTCACGTATATCCGTTTAGGCAAAGCTACACCAGCACCGACTACGATGGCCGGATTTAGTTTCCCGACGCAACCAAGCTTACCAGCCACAAACTCACCTACGGCTACCACTACTGCCCCGACATCTGCCAGTAACACTAGGACCAATACACCTGGTGTTACCCAGACCTTTCCGACTCCGCTTCCGACTATATCCGTCCAACCACCGATATCTCCATCTACTTATGGTGCGTCGACCATACCGCTGAAGGTACAAAAATGGAACATAAGTTTTAATGGAAGAACCGACCCTGTGACGTTTATCGAGAGACTTCAGGAGATTTGTACGTCTCAGGGTATTGTGATAGATTGTTTACTGCCGCACATGCCTGAGCTTTTACAGGGTGACGCTTCCCTGTGGTACCGAAACAATAGGACCCATTGGAATACTTGGGACACCTTCCTGCAAGATTTCCGAAGCTTTTATTTTCCGATAAACTACGCTGCCGATTTGGAAATTGAAATAAGTCGTCGCCTTCAGAAACCAGATGAACCGCCGCATCAATACATCACCGACCTACAAACGCTCATCAGAAGGCATGGCAACATAAACCCGGACCAGGAACTTCAGTGGCTATATAGGAATTTGCTACCCGAATACCGACAGCATATTAGAAAAACCGACGTTGTCGATGTAGTCTCATTTTCCCGTACGGTGAGGGAAATCGGGAGTTTATTAGCCGAATTAAAAGCAACTCCATCTACCTCCCACCGAACAACAGCAGGCATTACGGCCACACATACCTCACCGGTCACCTCTCGACGACCAACGCATGGAACCGACCGAAACTCTAGCTCGTTTAATAACCGAAGCTATCCGAAACCCGCAAAGACGTGCTGGAGATGTGGGGAGACGGGACACTTTAGAACGGAATGCCGAGGCATTGCGAAATTATTTTGTTCCCGATGCGGAAAATCCGGTATTATGTCCCGAGACTGCCCATGTGACGGGCGCCGTTCGGAAAACTAAAACGGTGCTGTACCAGTTCGAGGTCAGCCCAGCACCGCCTCCGAAAATCCTCGAAAAGACACCGTCCGCCACACGAGCTCAGCCTGATCCGGTTACCAGATGTTAGACCCCACGTATGCATTTACATTGATGAAGCACCGTTTCTAGCGCTAATCGATACCGGAGCCGCTAATTCATATATAGGAGACCTTGCCGTAGACATATGCCGCCTCTGCTCCTATCCGAAGGTAGAACCAGTGGTCCGAAATGCCAAGGTGGCCAATGGTGGTATAATCGACATCTCCGAAGCGTATCAGATACCGTTAAACCTCGGAGATATTACCCTGGTCGAAACCATCAGTTACTTCCCAAAGTTAACTTCCGAAATTGTGCTTGGTATGGACATTCTAAGCCGCCACCAATTTCACTTAGACCTGGGCACGGGTGAAATCCACGTTAAAAATCGCCTTCTACCGTTTCCTACACTATGCAGTCCTATTGGCCCTATCGAGGCAGAGCCATGCTTGGTATTAAAACCTTCCGAAGAAAGGCAATTGCAAGAGTTTCTGCATAAAGAATTACCGGAATTTGATCGCATTAAAGGCACGACTCCTTTAGTGGAACATACAATTCACCTACTGAATCCTGAACCGATAAAACAACGTTACCGCCCACAAAATCCCCGGATGCAAGAAGTAGTCAACACTGAAGTTAAGAAAATGCTGGACGATGGAATCATCGAACCGTCCGCTAGCCCGTGGAGTTCTCCCGTGGTCATTGTCCGAAAGAAAGATGGCAAGTACCGGTTTTGTATTGACTTTCAGAAAGTCAATGCCATATCCCGAAAGGATGCATACCCCTTGCCGTTCATCAATGCCATTCTGGATAAACTCCGCCGGGCCCGATACATTTCTAGCATTGACCTTAAACAAGGATACTGGCAAATACCTCTTGCTGAAAGTAGCAAACCGATAACCGCTTTCACCGTACCGGGAATGGGTCTTTACCAATTCCGTGTAATGCCATTCGGGTTACACTCCGCCCCGGCCACATTCCAGAGGCTAATGGATCAAATCATTGGTCCAGAATTAGACCCATTTTGCTTTGCCTACCTGGATGACATCATCATTCTTGGCGAAACCTTCGAAGAACATCTCAATAACCTGGAGGAGGTATTTCATCGTCTCAGGAAGGCAAATTTGAAAATAAATCCCGAGAAATGTGAATTTGGGAAACGTTCCCTCCGTTACCTGGGTCACCTTGTGACGTCGGAAGGTATCCGAACTGATCCGGAAAAAGTCGCCGCCATTCGGGAGCTTCCCGCTCCTACTAACCTCAGAGGATTGCGACGTTTCTTGGGAGTAGCGTCATGGTACCGCCGATTTGTACAGAATTTCTCCCAAATAGCCAGCCCACTTAACCGCCTTCTGAAGAAAGGCGTCCGCTGGGTTTGGACGGAGACTGAACAAACCGCATTTGAGACACTCAAAAACCGACTCACCGAAGCCCCGATATTGACCTGTCCCGACTTTTCGAAACCGTTTGTCCTGCAAACCGATGCGTCCGACAATGGATTAGGTGCGGCATTAATCCAACACATGACCGATGGTGATCACGTTATTGCGTACGCCAGCCGTAGCTTGAGTCCTGCCGAAAAGAAATTTTCCGTTACGGAAAAAGAATGTCTGGCCATAGTGTGGGGTATTGAAAAGATGCGGCCATATTTAGAAGGCTACCGATTCACCGTAGTGACCGACCACCAGAGTTTAAGATGGTTACATTCCATGAAGAGCCCGTCCGGTAGGTTAGCTCGTTGGAGTGTTTACCTGCAACAATTCGATTTCGAGATAAGATACCGCAAAGGGGTTCTAAACAAAGTCGCTGATGCGCTGTCACGAGACCCCGTCGATACCGAAGAACATAATGAACCAGAACCGATTTTAAGTTTAGAGGAGTTTGAACCGTGCGCCTGGTATACTGCCAAAAAGGCCGCGGTGGACAGTAATCCCACAGCTTTCCCAGACTTTTGCCTGAGAGATGGGCAGCTGTACCGACACTTTTGGGATCTTTCCGACTTGACCGAAGCCGAAATGTCTGATCCATGGAAACTTTGCGCACCGAAGAGTGCCCGATTAGCGATTCTTCAAGAAAACCATGATTCACCGCTGGCCGGACATCGAGGAATTGCAAAAACCACATCGCGAATCTGCCGTAAATACTATTGGCCGGGAATGATGCGAGACATATCCCGCTATGTGAAAAGCTGTGATTCCTGCCAACGATACAAGCCGACACAACAGCAAACCCCCGGTAAAATGCATCCATCCCGAAATCAGCAGCCCTGGGAAACCGTCACCACCGACCTGATAGGGCCTTTACCTCGTTCTTCCAAAGGGAATAACTGGCTCGTGATGTTCCAAGACCGATTCACGAAATGGGTGGAATGTCGACCGATTAGACAAGCAACCGCCAGAGCCGTTACTCAAGCATTGTACGAACAGGTAATCACTAAATTCGGTTGTCCAAAGACGGTCCTCACGGACAATGGCACACAGTATACTGGTCGGCCGTTTAAAGAACTTCTACGGGAAATGGGGATTGCTCATCGCCTTACCCCAGTCTACACTCCGCAAGCGAATCCCGTAGAACGCACGAATAAAACGATCAAGACCATGATTGCCCAGTTCTGCGACGACTCACATCGAAAATGGGACGCACACCTGTCCGAACTTGTTTTCGCTCTAAACAGCTCCAGACAAGACTCCACCGGATTCTCACCAGCCTATTTGAATTTTGGCCGGGAATTGGATCCACCCAAAGCCCTCTACCGTATACCGATATCCGAAACCACTACACCAGAAGATCCCGAGGCTGCGCAGTTTACCAACCATTCCGACCGGCTAAACAAACTTCAAGAAATCTACGAACTAGTCAGGGTGAATTTAGGCCGAGCTTTTACCGTTCAAAGCAACCACTATAACTTACGCCGCCGCGACTGGCGATGTCACGTTGGTGACAAAGTAATGAAAAGAGAGAATCCCCTGTCCTCAGCCATAAAAGGGTTTGCGGCCAAATTAGCGCCGAAATATTCCGGGCCCTACACGGTAACCAAAGTCATATCACCGGTAGTATATGACTTAAAGGATGATACGGGTGCAAAGCGCAGACGCATTCACATCAAAGACCTTAAGCCTGCCTATACTTAACCAGGTTTTCTCTTTTTCAGATCCGACCGAAACACCGTTAAAAAAAAAATGGACCCACCAAAGAAACTCAAACCAAATCCGGCCGACCTGTACAATCCCCGACAAGACGGCCAGCAAAAAGCCCGAAAGGCCAACGCGCGACTACAGCGCGTACGACAGGCTGTCCGAACCTACCAGGCTAGGTTTGCCGGTCCACCTCCGCGGGGGCATATATTTTCCGCTTCAACCGCCCCCAGAATTCCCACCGCTACGCAAACGACTGCTCCAGAGGTTAACTTTCCCCGCCGAACCCAGCAACCTCCAACGCGACCTCCCACTGGCTGCGTGCGACAGCAAGACGAAGGTCCCCAAAGACCGGCTCCAACAAACCCGTATCCAAATACCACCGGCGCCGGTACATCGGCCAGAAGTGGAACCGAACCCGGCACGTTACCCACGTTTGGGCTCCAGAGCGTAAAGACTAACTTCGCCTTCCTACGGCCCGAATTGCACTTCTGGTGGACCTCTAAACAAAATACTCCAACCGCCCGCCCTGTAATGTCGTTGCCTCTTCCGCCATGGGCCACGTCACGACCCAAATCGCCGCTTAAATGGGCGGTCGTAGTTTTCCAACCACGGGAAACAGATATCGGGGATATGGCTAGGCAAGAGCCAGATGCCTTCAAATGGACCCCGGCATATCGGGATGCCCTGAGGAAGTACCGTCCCCCAGGCCACCCTGTATACAAGGGCTACCGTCTGCGCCTGCGCACCAATACCAAAAAATATATCCACTTCACTATTCCGGGAGGCTTGTAAAAGCATACCGTCATGTACCGCATACCGACCGATAGAAGGCTGATTTATTTTTATTTTTGACTGAAGAATTGATTTTTTTATTTCTATCTGTGATACCGACCGATTAAGACTGAATTGTTATTTATTTTGTATTATCTTGGGAAAATATATATTTTTTTACTTGGGGTTAACCGACTGCATCCGTTCCGTGTACTCACCCCTACCCCAATTAATCTTAATAAACTATGAAGGATACGTGCGACGACAGGTAGTAATTATTTGCAAAATTTTCAGATGTCAAGCCCCGTATTACAGTTAACCGACACCGATTTCACCGAGGCACTTGAAGAGGCTCTAAATGAGGGATTGCCCGCCCAGAATAAGGAGGAAAACAAGAGCAAAACAACCGAAAAGGATGTAATGATCAATGCCCGATCAACCACCCATACCAGCACCGCGTCAGAATCTTTGGGTGCTGCGACCCCACTATCACCCGCTCCGAACCCGGTGGTGGGTACCCGTCGACATGCCTGTGACGATGTTTACCTCCCAGTGGAGAAAAATTTATGTTGGCGATGTGGCTATCCCGGACACCGCCGGGAGGCTTGCACCAACAAACCGGTGATGTTTTGTTCTAGATGCGGCCGGGTGGGTTATCTATCAAAAGAGTGTTCCTGTGGTCCAATCCGCTCCAAGGTCGTTCAACCCTCTCAATCTGGAACACTCACCGTAACCTCAACTGCGTCCCGCCGTCGCAATAAAGTATCCGTGGCCGTACAATGTGACCGTCACGAGTTGAAATACCGGCCCTGCCGCACGTGTGGGTGTCCATACGGCCGTCCGTCACATGAATAACCGCTTACCGCACACCGATACCGCTCGAAGTGAGGCTCGAACCAAGCGAACGTCATGGGGGAGGACAGGATGGCCTTCCAAGAAGAAGCTATTATTTGTTTATTTTTCAATGTAGTTTCACTCTTTATTTTTTTTTCTTTTTAGGGTAAGATATTATTTTTTTTTGTTTTGATTTTTAGGAGAACTTGTTTTTTATCACCGACTGTGTTTTAGGGACTCATTTCGGTAATATTTACTATTGCTGAGAAACAGGTATATAGGTATATATAAAATATTTTCAAGTAAATATTTTTTTTAAAGAGGAGGGGGTGTGTAACGAAGGTTACATATTTTTTCTCTGTTCTGGAGAGGTAATATGGCTTTAATTAGTCTCTATTTTAATTATTAATATATCTTTACGCGTGACCTCGAATCAGGCGTAAAAGCCAGTACTACCGAGCGCCCGAACCCACATCGCTTCGTCGGGGAACGCCGTAGCCAGTCGGTCAGGCAGCCTTCCCCACCGCGAAAGCCATGCGGCGCCGGGCCCATAAATTGCGAAGCGCGCCGAGGAATTGGCATTCCGTCCACCGCTACCGACCGACCAGCCAGCACCAGCCAGCAGACCGAGCAGCAGCCAAGGTAAGCCTTCACCGTAGAAACCGTCGCCGCCGCTTTCAGCTCGCCACGACGCCGACGTCATCACTGCACCGTACAATGTAGGTATAGGTTCGTTTGCGGGTCAATACTATGGATCGAGCTGTGCTGCTGTCTGGGTTTCGTTCCAGGGTAGGGCTGATTCGATCTATAATGATGAGTACGGGGGGCATCTGTCTGGGCTTCGTTACGGGGTGTCCTTTGTGCTCATCCTTATTTGGCTCGGGGTATCACATGGCACGTTTAGTACACTTGTCTGGGATTCGTTACGGGGTGATACTACTCGTTCTGTGCTGACGGACACAAGTCGCGTCCTGTCTGGGCTCCGTTACGGGGGCGCTGCTTGTGCTTGTCTGGATACTTCCGATCCTTCTCTGCGTCTACAAAGACCCGCACGCTTACCGAATCAAACAGATCGCGCATGCGGCCTAAGGCCTGAACCGTACGAGCTGGAAGCGAGGACGAACAAGTTGTTTATTTTTCGTTATTCCGAGTACACTAAATTTCTGGATGCAGGGTTACCTTGAGCTTACCGATTACCGGATTTCCGTCCCGAAAATCTCTCTATCTCTCTCTCTCACACAAAACATACACACCTACTTCGTCCACATCCTCTCTCTCAGGTTGCCGTGTATTATATTCGAGATAGAGGGTATTTATTTTCTTGTTCAACGCTTGATTCAGAATAAAATATCTGTTGTTTTCCCGGAATGTTTGTTTTATTTTTTTTTCTAATGGTCAATGAACTTTGGTTTTCCGTCTCCACTGAGATACTACCTGGAGCAAGTGGGCCCTCGACCACTCTAAAAGCCGAGGGTGGCGCCCGAGATAACCGACCGATAAATAACCGAAAGTCAGTAGCACCCCGAACAGTGCAAGGAAAACTGAAATAACGCTACAGAATTATTATAACTATATAATACCTTGGTTACGATAATCATAAATAAGGTCTTACCTCCCGCGCGGGAGTTAGAATTTCATAACTCCCGCTTTTATCTTGCACAGGTGCAACTGTGATATAAAAAAAGAAATTTTGGTTAATGGTTTATTTCTTTATAAAAATGGACAAAACACAGTAAGTTCAGTGAGAAATAAAATTATCTATGTACCACGGGAAACTGACACAAACTTTTCCCTATGGTATTAACACCCTCATAATTCTCTTGATACCTACATAAATAACTATTACTTTTCAAATTATTGTACATTTAAAGCCTAATAAACTGTCTATTTTTTATTCTTAATATGTATACAGTGTGATTTTTTAAGTGTGCAACATATGGGAGAGTTTTTTTAATATACATATTATCATCAGTAGTGTTTTAACTTGTTAAAAACAAAAATTACAACATTTTAAAGTTGTTGAATATCATTGCAACAAACATGAAATTTGTGATTTCATAAAAAATTAAAAATCTAAGTTAATTTCACAAATATGCTTGAATTTGAACAAAGTTATGTAAAATTGATTTGAATTTAATTAATTTTTGGAAGTATTCGGGGCGGAAATAAAAGATTAAAAAAATATAAAAATTATAGATTTTTTTCGAAAAAAAAAAATTAAAATTCAGGAGGTATTTAGGCATGACTTTTAATTCCAAACAACTTTTCTCTATAACATTTTGCTGAATTTTCTAAAATAAGGGTACTTTACAGTACAATTTTGATATTGTTTGAGCTACCCTGTATGCTGTTTGACTTGTAACCATTTTAAGTGCACCTAATATGATTATCAGACATGCACCAAGTTTTGGCCTTGTTTGTTTTTGGGTTGTGCTATTACTAAAAAAAAATTCCATATGTTGCACACTTAAAAAATCACACTGTATACAGGGTGGAATTTTTAAATGGAATAAATTCAGTTTCGGAGAGCCTGTTTATTTTCTGGAAAAATAAAAAATACGGGTCTCTTTATTTTTAGTTCGGCACATTTTTTCGGCCTTTTCATGGAATCCCTCTCCTAAGGGTAGAAACCACCCCCAATTTTTTTTTAATGTAAAGATATGTATTGTGATAGCTCGTTGGAATGGGCATCAAAAAAGGAATATGACCCATTATTTACTTTTTCATTTCGTTGATCTAGTTATGTAATTATTTTTGAAATTAACACACTATTTTGAGGTTGAGAATCCGAGTATCAGGCATCAAATAGTGTGTTAACGTCAGGAATAATTACATAACGTTACAAATGGGGCTTGTTTCGCATTAGGGTTCTACCCGAAAGGCAAAAGTAAATAATGGGTAATTTTTGTTTTTTTATGCCTATTCCAACGAGCTATCACAATCTTTACACTTGAAAAAAAAATTGGGGGTGGTTTCTACCTTTAAGAGAGGGGTAAATTCCATGAAAAGGCCGAAAAAATATGCCAAACTAAAAATAAAGGGACCCGTTTTTTTTATTTCTCCAGAAAATAAACAGGCTTTCTCATACTGAATTTATTCCATTTAAAAATTCCACCCTTTATTATTTTTCTGATATATATTTTTATTTTTAGGTACAATCTATTTTCTACCCGCTAAAAAATATACAACATTATTGTTTGAACGATACGAATATCAATACATGAAACGATTGGGAAGAAAAGATGCACCATCGAAAACTTATTGGAATTGTCGGAACCGAAAAACCGGGTGCAAAGTTAATGTCATTACCTATGGCAATACAGTGTCCATAAAATCAATTGCACATAATCACGGTCCTACTTATACCGGAGATGTTAGTCAGCTTAAAAGTCAGATAGTTAACATTGAGTCTTATACAAATAATTATTGAATTTATAGATCATGAAGATTATTCAGTAGGTACTATTTTTCATAATCAATCAATTGGATATTCGTTTTTTTTTTTTTCAATAAATTATTTAAGAGCGAATTTTTACTACAGTGGAGGCGGACATCAAAAGTGTCTTTATATCAAAACATGAAGTTTAAAAAAAAAATATGTTACATACGCATGAATGTTTTGGTATGCCACGCCCAACTAACCCATTTGGGTTACTTTTGGCGGCAAAATATCTCTTCTACAAAAAAAGCATTATTCTTGTCACATTGTTTCGATCATTTGTTCACCACACTTCAACAATTAAATAAGCAAGACTTTTTTCATATATCGACATTTTCGTCTGATGGTTTTATCTTTCGGGAAGCATATTTTTGTAAAAGAGTGGCTTAATCGTTGCAAACGAATATATGGCAACCATGGCAATAATAAAAATGCGGCCATGAACTGTTACCTGTTACACTTCAGAGGATTTTCGGAAAAAAAGTAGTCGTACAAGAAATCGTAGATATAGAAGTGTCTTTTTGTAGTAAGTAATTTTGTAGTAATGCAGTACCGATGAAGTTGGTATACCTATCTCTTTAAATTTTTTTACTAAATTTTTTTATAGTTCCAGGTAGAGTATACTTTTCACCAGGCAGAAAACACCCTATAATGATAATCGACGGGTTTGAATACAAACTTCAACTAAGAAAAGATAACAGAAGCAACTGGTGCTGCACACAGGATGCCAAATTCAAGTGCAAAGTCAGGCTCATGGCTAAAGGAAATTTGATTCAGATTAAGGATTGTCAGCATACCCACGAACAAACATATAAAGCGGACTATACTAAGTTGAAGTCACACGAAATTTTAATAGAGTACCGTACAAAGTTTAGGAGGCCATCAGAGTTTAAATAATGTTATACTCAATGGCACTCTTATTAGTCAGGTGACGTTTCAATAAATTCAATGTGTACTACTAAGAAAGATAGAACGCAGATTCAAACAGAGTAGATTGAACATTGAAACTGACTTATCAGACTGTCCGCCGAGTATACCATTGGTATTGATTAATTTTCAAAGTTGCAGAATCGCGAAGGTCATAACATAAAAAGATTAAACTTCATCACATTATTATGACTAGTATGAGTAGCATGACCTACATACAACGCCAATTTCATTCCGTTAGTTAACAAGTCAGAAACCAAGGGGTTGGTTTTTGAAAAATGACTTTATTAACAATCCGAAAATGTATACTAACGAAAGCACGTTACAATAAATGTTACAATTATTGTAATTAATATTTAATTTCAACTGACTGCCTATCCTAGGAAAATACATATAGGTATTTATTTTAAACAGAATAGGCATTTTAAATGAGGACTCAGCAAATAGACGTGATATAACTCCTCCCTTCTTAGCTTCAATTTCCACACTAGCGGGGGAATTAAATACACTGGTTTTCTTCTGGAACGGGGGTGGACCTCTTCTTCTTCATGACGGCTTTTACATATTTTATGTTAACCAAGAAGATACAGGCAATGACGATGAGGACATTATATAAAAATTGTCACAAGGCTGGGTATTCTATTGATTTCGGTGAAACTTAGTTTTGGGCGTATGTCCATTACTTCTTTCCTCAATTGGTGAAGGTCGCCTAATTTCAAATACTTTAGATGTCGACTTAGATTGAGGGTCGGCATCATTGCGAGTGTATTTGGTATATCAGGAAACAGTATCGGTTGAATATCGGTCTTGACTATTCTATTTCCGTTGATAACTAGCGGTGGCCACTTGGCAATCAATTGGTATTTGAAGCATTGTTCCCATGATGTTTTGTACTTCCTTTTGTTTAAAGCACTTGAGTTGGATGGCTTCTTTGACAGGAACGACCAATATCCATTGATTGGAATCGTCTAATCGATTGATGATAATGTGCGGGACTTTTACTTCGGTTTGTTCGCAGGTGGAGGTATTTATGTCAGAGTGGAGTAGTTTAATTTCGCTTGGGCTGTCTTCTTGGATTTCGTGAATGTCTTCTTTTCCACAAATATGGAATTTTGGAATGATTTCCTGACATTCTTGGCCATAGTATGTGTAGTGCAATTTATTTTTCAGCAAGAATTTATTTCGCGGTAAGACAACCTTAAACTAACTCTGAGAAAGGATTGGAACCGAGTATTAATGAAAGTAATCAAGAATTTTCGAATACATTATTGATATATGTATTAGGTATGTTATTCTATTATTTAAAACAGAAGATTCCAGAACGGGGACTATGTAACGGATAGAGATCGTTTTTTCTGTCTCTATGGCACTTGCTGTATCCTTTTCACTTTTCGAAATCAATAGAGAAGAGACGTCGAATGAGAAAGAGAAAATATCTCTATTCGTTACATAGTTCCCCAGCAGCTCGATTATTTTTTCAGAAAGTGGAGTATTTTCCAAAGTGACCGATAGGGGAATTTGTTCAGAACTTAAACGCTGTTGTAGTTTGTTTAATAATAAATAAAGGTCATCAGTTTTTGTTATACTTGAATGCATGATTTTCAATTTTGAAAAAGTCAAGGAATTTTCTATATCTTGTAAAAAAGAATCAATTACCTATCTCCTAGATATTGACTATTTGATTTATTATGTCTCTGACATAGAGGGAAGGGAATTTCCTCTATATGCTGCCTTCTGTACCATAATATGTGCAATTTGGGTTAATTTTTGATTCTAAAAGTTTTTCGTTGTGATTTTTTTTGTTTATTAGTTTGGTTAAATTTTTCGATTGCTTTTAAAGGAACCGAAAAACATTTCAAAACCATAGCAGATAGTTAACAGCAACTTTATCTGAAGATGGATAAACCGGGCCTTAGTAGTATAAAGCTAATCAGCAAGCCTATAGGATAAAATGCATTTAAAATAGTTAATTAGAGTGATGGGCTCTATCACTAAAATTTCAATACGTAATTTAAGTATAAAATCCCAAAGGAGGCACTATTTTAGGCATATATACAAAAAAAAAAATGTTCTACAAGATTAAATAAGTTTTTTACAGGCACTTGGAACTGGCCAAATTCAAAATAAGTTAAAACGCGCCGATTCATGATGTCACATAAATATTTTTTATTTGTCTCATGTTGTTGCAACTAGCTGACCGGCTCGACTGTGTTGCGCTCTGTAAAAGTACGTAAAGATTCGAATGCGCTGTTGTCGGTTGTGACTAAATGTAGTGCAACGTAAAAAGAATAAAATAAAATAAACATAAAAAATTGTATTAAATTGTGTTTAAGCATAATTTAAAAAAAAAAAAACATAAAATCTTGAATCCATAACTAATTAATCAACTACTTTTCATGATATTTTGCCAACATTTCAGAATTAAATCTATCACAAATTTTCAATGTTGACAATTAGTGGCAACACGGTCAAATTGCGAGCTGCGACGTCATAGAAATAAATTCTGAGTTTTTATTTGGAGGTATTTCTTTTTCTTTTCTGTTTTCTCGAGAAGGACTATGAATTTTTCAAAAGTAAAAATACAGAAAATTCTGTTTTTAGTTGCTTTATCCAAATATGCCAATTTCAAAAACTAGTCATTGTTGTATTGTAATATTTTTATTCTCAAAACAAGGTGTCAAAAGTACCTTTCCGTGTGAGGTTGTTGCTACTGTTTCGCGTACAGGGTCAACGGATCCAACTTGTGTCTGAGGTGTAAACTTAAATACAGTGTGTATCAGCCAAATAAAATAAATTCGATTATTCCACTCATGTGTTAGAAATCCCATAAGGCAAGTGACGATTTTCAGAATTACAGCGAAAATTCTCTTTTCCATTTGTTTAACTAGAGAGAATTACAGCGATAATTCTCCCATGTTATTGTATACATGGTTGTCATGCTAATTTTTGATACAAACAAACGGTTCCTGATAGCAACCATTTATTTATATTGATTGTTAAGATGTTCAAATCGTTTAATACATATTTATTTCCATATTTTTTGCATTCTCGTACGTGAAATAATCCTCCAAATACCACTTGAGCTTTAAAATGAACCATATAATTTTTCACTCATGCGTGTTTTCTCTGCAAATTTCACTCGTCCTACGGACTCGTGAAATTATAGAAAACACGCAATCGTGAAAAATTATCGGTAATTTTGAAGCTCTCGTGGTATTATCCCCGATAATAAATAAATGGGAAACTTCTCGAAAAAACGCTCGAGCACGGCAATTTTGTTTTTTTGCTTGAGATTTTTTCACACCAATTTTTTTATACAGGGTGTTCCGAAAACAGCTGTACCGTTATCATTTTTAGTTTTTTTAATGATACCCCCTGTATATTATGATATTTCTGGATTCTGCGGAAAATTCTAGACATATTTCATATACAATGTCATATACCTATCTTCAACTGTTTCGGAAATATTGACAGTTGAAATTTGACTTTTTTTTATCTTTGACAGACTGTAAAAGCTAAACGGTTGATTTTACAGCGAAACCGTTTTCACATTCCTATCCTAGATTTTTATAAGCTATCATTTGACAGCAACTTCGAATTTAACCGGAGATTATTAATTTAAGCGAAATTTCTAATCATGGATTAAATTCAAAGTTGGTGTCAAATGATAGTTTATGAAAAACTAAGATGAGAATATATGATCGGTTTTGCTGTAAAATTAACCGCTCAGGTTTTACAGTCTGTCCAAGATGCAAAAAAGTCAATTTTCAACTGTCAATATTTCCGAAACAGTTGAAGATAGGTATATGACATTATACATGAAATATGTCTCGAATTTTCCGCAGAATCCATAAATGTCATAATATACAGGAGGTACCATCAAAAAAATTAAAGTTGATAACGGTACAGCTGCTTTCGAAACACTCTGTATAAAAAAATTGATGCGAAAAAATCTCAAGCAAAACAACAAAATTGACGTGTCCGAGCGTTTTTTCGAAAAGTGCCCCATTTATTTATTATCGAATTTATTCCATTTGGCTGATACACACTGTATGTTTTGTTCTGGGTGAAATACTGTTGGTTTATCGGAAGTTTCATTAATCTTTCCTATTATTTTTTTCTTTTTGATTCATAAGTTTTTCATTGATGGTTGAATATAAGAGTTTAGACTTATTTTTATATTCTCTGACATAATCTGTCAATAAAATTTGTTCTAACTTGAGGTCAAATGGATCATTTGGGCTAACGTGTCCTGAAATAACATCTATTGGTTTGAATTTAGTCACCGAATAAATGGTGTGATTATACAGGGGGTTTGGTACATCGATAGAAATATTTCAATGAGTGATAGTTGGGGTCATTTGGAAGCTGTTTGACTATATTTACCCTCATGCAAAGTTTCGACATTTTTTTCAGGGTCAAATTCGTTTCGACACTTGAAAAGCGAGTAGGTAAAAGAGAGTAGGGACTTTTTTCTAATTTTTGCAAGGAATGGGAATTATGAAGTATTTGCGTACCTTTACAGATTTGCTGGATAAAATGTTAACTTGATTAGGTTGAAAATAAATTTTCCTCGAATAGATCATCTTTAATTTTGTAATGTGAGTCTGTTAGTTTGGTTTACCAACAGAATGTTACAATATTTATTTTGAACCATATATGTAATTTTCACATTTCTTACTGGTTTGGAGGTTCGAAAATGTCTCTTTACTTTTGTTTACTAAAAAGCAGGCCGAAAGTGACTGTTCTCCTGTCACTTTCGGCCTGGATAACTCACTTTCGGCCCTGATAAATTGTCTTTTCACACCTAAACACAAATCCAGGTGCAATGTTTGTATTAAGAAGTAGATGTGACATGTGTTTCCATTGTTGAAATTTCATAAAATGTCAATGTCGGTGTCAGACTGTCAGTCGAAATTTGTTACAAATAAAACTAGATTTGTATACTTTAAGATAAAGATAACCTAGGG